ATTAATAACTTAATAACTCATTATGTTCATCAGTTTATTAATAACTTTATAAATTATTATGTTCATCAGTTTATTATTATGTTCAACGGTTTATTAATAACTTAATAACTCATTAGGTTCATCAGTTTATTAATAACTTATTATGTTCATCAGTTTATGAATAACTTAATAACTCATTATGTTCATCTTTACCTGAACTGGGTCGGCTGTCCGTCTCCAACTGGTCATGTGACGCCTCGCTGTCCAATCGCAGGTCACAGATCTGCCGGTCCAGCTCCTGCAGCTGACTGATGAGTCCAGCGTCTCTCCTCCTCAGACAGTTCTGATGGACACAGAGAGACACCATGAGAGTCCTGATCCCAGAGGGGACCTGAGGAAACCAGACCACAATATGATTTAAACCGACAACAAACAACCTGATTGGCTCAGCAGATTGTCAACAGTTAACCAATAAGTGATGAGTATTTCTCATAATATGAGACCTACAGAGACATTATGAGACATAAAGAGACATTATGACACATTATTAGGCATAATGAGACATTATGAAACATACAGAGACGCTCCCTGTGGGACGCTCTGTTTATTGGTGGTCATGTGACTCAGGACTAGCCCTGAATGTCTCCACTCTGAAGATCAGCAGCTTCACAGGTCTCATTCACAAAGTGTGGACGTCTGATAGAAGGTGAGAGGTACCTGAACTCCTCACATGGACAATAGATAAAGAATGAACATATATAAAGTCCTCTGCTCTTCTTCTGCTTTCTTAAAGATTATTTACAAATGAATACATAATTGTTGATGAATATTCTGTAGATTAACTAATAACAATAAATAACGTGAAATTATTTTACTTTAAAAGAACAAAGATGTAAATCCAGACGGTGAAAACTGCAGAGAACCAACTGAAGTCTGGAAGAGTCACACACTCACACACTCACACACACACACTCACAGAGTGAATCAGATGGAAAGCATGCGGGTAATGCAGCGCTGCTCTCAGGTCAGTCATGTGCTGCATTCCTGTGATGAAGCTGCAGAGAGCAGAAACAAACTGCTGATCTTCTCTCAGACAAACATCTGATCAATAACTGATCGTTTCATATTGATCTCAGAGCTCAGAGGTTTTTATCTGCAGGCAGCACGGCTTAGTGTCGCTGACTGAAGGTCTGCATGACCACGCCGACATTTTTAAAAGAATAAGAACTGCTGTTGAAGATGGTGGGATTCAAAAATGTGTTTGTGCGGGAAGTCACAGTTACAGTAATGAAGGTTCTCTCTGACCAATCAGATGTCTGCAGTGGTTTAACTCCACCTTCTAGTATCGCTGGGAACCTCGACCGAGGTGGTACCAAAAAACCTTTTACTAACAGAAAACCACAAAAAGAATGAGTCGAGTCGAATCATCAGAGAAATTAGGCTTAAAGATGCTCAATTCACTCCTCCTGATTCTGTCTTCTAGCTCTGTGTTTGGTCTCCACCTCCTGA